TGCGTCCCAATAAAATTACGCGGACGGCTTTCACCAGCTGCACGCCACTCAGCAGACTGCCGATTTGATTCCGGAGTAAAGTGGTGACTCCATTTTTTGTCTACTGTCACATACCGACGCAAGAAATCCTATTTATTGCGGGTGAACAGTAACAAACAGCTCTTTGAGTTGTCAACTCGTTGTTGCTTTTGTTCCATTGTGAGAAAATGCGGCACCCATTTAGAAAATACTTTTTTCATACTCAACTTTTCGTGTAAGATGGTAAATGCACTTCCGGTTGTTATCTCAGGAACTTTCAGTTTGCGGTCATTAATCACGATTTTTAAAACCTGCTTAACATTTTCCGGAGTTACTGCTTCATTTGGCATACCCGAGCGTCCCACATCCTTTGTATCAATATGACCGGGTTTAAAATCATCATATCAGCAAATCGTTGTTGTCGACGGATAACATTTTTCAAGCCATCGCTGAGCTTGGACGGTATTCTTTCCCATTAAATAACAATGTTTTATCAACACACGAAATTCGTTTTATCTGGTTGAAAATGGAAAAATCATTTTTCTGCTTCTGTGCTCATTTTTTAATATCTGTAACATCTTCAATTTTTAAAAAAGCAGTTGGACAAATTTTTAGATTTATAGGTATCAGTGATCGGTGACAAAAGGATCCTTTTTCGTTCAGTCAGATATCTCCACGCCAAAGTGAGTATTATTTCTTTCGATTTCATACTCAATTTTTCATCAGTTATGAAAATATGCACTGCTGCAAAGATTGGACTTCGTTTTAGAGAAATCTAACAAGATTGAGCAAGTGTTATGAAAGTGCGTTAATAAATCACCAGACTGAACTGCAAAAAATACTTCCTTGGTTGATTTAAAGAAAGTCCATATAAACCAGATTTACTTCCCACAATGCGACTTTTTCAAGAGGGTGTTTAATTCAAATCATCATTTTCCATCGACAAACGAAGTCTGACAGCTGTATCTGTCTAGGTTTACATGATCATTTTTCTACAAGTAAATTGGGAAGAGGATAAATTGGAATAAACAAATTTCACATAATAACTAGCTAAACCAAATTCAAATATGTGTATAAATTCGAACCTCACCATTGGAATCACACAAACTGCAAGAGATACTAAGTTGCTCAAATGAGGGCACAGTTGTGTATTTAGATAATTAACAAGATGTACTGCCCGAGAGACATGTAAAAAACAGAATTTACCAAAATCATTTTAATTTTTCCCTGACTTTATTTGTAGTGGAATTTCAAAATAAATTGCACCTTAGCATTGCTACTTTTTATCCTCTAAAAATGTAAATGCGTCATACATTGACGTTGTCATGTCTTAGTTATTTGAAAAAGTAAGAATTTTCTAGGTAGGCTTTATAATAATCAGATAGTCATTTGTTTCTCCTACCACATTTATCCCAAAATCAGTTTTATTTTTTCCTGACCTTATTTGATGAGATGGGGTTCCAAAATAAATTGCATGTCAGCATTGACACCATTTCTTCTCCACAAACTGACATAATTATAATTTCAATATGACGTTTCGTCTCCTGTCTTCCAGCATTAACTTTATTTTTTCTTAATCGACGCCATATTGGATTTTTTATTTCAAAAGTGTATAATATACATATTCAAATTGGCAAACCTTGGTTATTCCAGAAAAATAGCAGTTCCTAGGTAGGCCTTGAAACTATCAAACTCAGAACTATCATTTGCTTTGTATACCAGACTAGACTTGAAATCGAACATAGCGGCATAGTCTGGAAGAAATAAGTCGAGAAGAGGAGTCAGGACAACATTTTGAACATTTGCTATGAGTTACCTCTGGTTACTTATGAAAAGTATTGATATTATCATCAATAATGCGTTCAGGTTTCACAATACTGCTTTATTTCCTCATAATACTCATCCAGCAGCCAGTCCATGGTCAACTAGGAAATGCATCACTTAATTAAGGCCTGAAAAGTCCATTTAAATGTACAAAATTCCAATATAACGTCCATATGAGAAAACAAAGTTGATGATAGAAGTCGAAAGAAGGAAAGTTGAATTGAAAATTTGACTACGCCATCTTGTAGAGGAGAATAAGTAACAATGGCAAATCCCACCTTGAATAAAGTCAGGAAGATGTCTATCCGATAATTTCAAGGCCAACCTAGGAAATTGTGAGTTTTTTGAAATACTAAGGCTTAGTAATGTCAATGTATGCCGTACAAACTCAATAAACATATGATGTCCATAAGACAGAATTAAGTTGATGCTGGAAGACAAGAGATGAAACGTTATATTGAAATTCTTATTATGCGATCTTGTAGGGGAAGAAAGGAAATAAATCGCGCAGTAAACATGTACAGAGAAACTTAGAATTTTTGTGTCAACAACAAACTCATGGCGGTCAACTAAGGAAATATATAACTATAAAGTTTTCAGCCCTACTCCTTTTGTATCTACAAAATTTCAATACAACGTGCATATTAGAAATCAAAGTTGGTGATGGAAGGCGAAAGAAGAAGTCTGGGAAAGTGACAATGACAATATGTAATTTACTTTGAAATCCTATCTCAAGTAATGTCAAGAAAAATAATAAAAGACTTTGCGATTATGTAGTATACGAAACAAATGACTATCTGATAATTTCAAGGCCTGTCTGAGGAATTCTGTTTTATTAAATAACATTTGCCAATGTGAATGTATGACATATTATCCATTTTTTAAATCATATTTATTTACTTACACCACCAGCGGATCAACCAATTGTTGGTTGGAGAACAGATGTTTACATAGCACAAACATGGAATGTTATACGTACGTTTGCCCTTAAAACTAAAAATATTTTCAGCAGCTTAACCGTGACACATGACGTGCGCCACCGGGTTACTAAGACAAATATAATCATTTGGCAAGTAGTCTGAATACATATAAGTATTTATCCTAAGAACATACAAAATTTTACATTATCCGTGGTTTTTCGAATTTCTGCAAGAAATCACTAAAGGAATGACAACCTGTGAAGCGACAGTGAGCTGTCTCTGATTAGCGTAAGCTCAGGTAATGGTACCCCCTGCGACATTGCAGTAGATACAACTTATATTTCGGGATAACGTAAGTGCCTTTTTAAAAATATTTATTTCCGAAAATACAGTAGTGGATGGTACGAAAGTTAGATTAAGACTAAATTTTAATTATACAAGTACAATGTTCGTTAGCATGAGTAAAACAAAAGCTACTATTCTAAATCACAATCGATTAGCTTTATAATATGTATACAAGTTTGCAAGTCAGAACCTATTATTACTAAGTCCCATTAATATTATTACAATCTGTTTTCGGAACAGTAGTAATGCTAAAAAAAGTAGACCAAAAAAACTGCTAACGTTACTTATATCATCTCTGCCACCACTATTAAGCACTAAAAGTAATATGGGACTATTTTACCCGACTAGCAAATTTTGCAACAGTTAGACCGAGACTTCAATAATTTTGCAAGACCAAGGCTGACACTAAGCTAGTCTTGATCTTAGCCCTAGCTGTCATGCCACTTATTAAACTGTACCTCCTGAAATCGAATTATTTTTGTCCATACACATACGCACGCGCTAAAAGCATAACCTTCCTTCTGAGGCAGCCAGGTAAAAATCGCCTCTTACCCCCAGGCTGCAAGGTAGCTATTGGCTGCCGTGAGTAGCTACTATTCTTATTCACAAGACATTGGCTTGAGTATTCGGAAATTAATGCGAGACTCGGATTCCCTATTCTCGTTCCTACTGTTTTCTCCTATATATTATTGCATTTGAAATAAATTTCACTCTGAAGTTATACTGTGAATCCTTTCCGCTTGACTGTACCAGGTTGACTGTCAGAAATTACCTAATCGTAGAAGGAGGTATAGGAAGAAAATCGCAGGCAAATATTTATGAAATGTTATATATGTTATATATGTTGGCTGACAATATTTATTAAATGTCTCTTAAGTCAAACACTGGTCAGACTTTGATGATATTCTTGTACATGGCTACTATCAAACGAAGCCCGAAAAGGCTTTGAGAATTTTCAAAACTGGACGAGTTTTGAAAACATGGAACAACCTATGTCTTTCGGAGTTTTTTTATCACTCTATCTATTTATCACTTTTGCTGTAGGGATCTGGATTTCTGAAGAACTCGAAACGACGGTTTCAGCCTACTAATAACTTAGGTCAAAGCATTAATCTGTACCTAAAATTTAGACATCAGTCTATGTGAAGTACTGTTTAATTCTATTTTTGTGTATTTTTTGAGCATTTTATGATCTTTCGACAAATAACATTTTGAATATCATGTCATGTCATTAAAAGTTCTTAGAATTTCTGTACCTGGAGTTTTGAAAAGTAGGTACTTTGTTTGAATTGATATATTGTTGTGTCAATTCATGCGAAATAAGCAGCATTGGTCACTATGCTTGACCTCTCATTTGACTAGGAGCGAAAAAGTATATTCAAACATCCAATTTGCAAGAAAGTCAGTTTATTGCATTTGTATAATTAATAACTGTCAATATTACATAAATTAGTCAAAATATGTACATAAGCTATAAACAGGCGAAAAAATTTTACAAAGACGTTAAATGAATTCAGTAAATCAAAAACGCTTCTGCGCTGCATATCGGTGTAAGTCTCATCGATCTGCCACTTTCGATTTGACGCTCAATTTGACTTTAACCCAATGAATATACCCATTGTCAAGTACACCAACAAGTTCAAATTAATGATGAGGATACTAATGAGATTCAACGTCATAAGTAATATTGCACATAAATAACTTTGACAAAACATTTGGTGAGTTATAATTCAAAATATGTATTCCAAATTGACATATTCAATGGTTCAGCAAATTTTTAGAAATGAAACAGAAAGAAGTTGACCATTTTCCCAACAAAGTAAATTTTTTATGAAACTCGGGCATTAACATCACCCAGAAAATTGCTTTTGTATCTTAAGTCAAAATTACAGGTTATAGAACGCACATATCGTCCGGTAACTGAAAAAAAAAGAAAAGTACATTTTTGTCATTTTTGGGTTAAGTACAGTTGAGGATGAGATTTGTAAAATTAATGTTATTCCTGAGAAATATCATTATTATTAAAAATCGCGCCCTACCTCCAAAGAAGCAAACGGTCTTATTTCAGAACCAGCAGCAGAGGATTTTGATCCCGAGGTATAGGAAGAGTTAAATATCTGAGGTATAGAAATGTATACGTCTAAAACAAGACAAGTGCAAAAAATGGTTTGTTGTTAGTAGTTTTCTAAATGTTATGAATATGTCTTACTGCTGTTTTTAGACTTCCGTTAATTCAGTTTGTGAATAAAAAAGTATTTTATTTCTTTGTTTAATTTTTAATTTAACAATGACGTTCAAGATCCTCGGATCTTCGAAGTATAAAAATGTAAGTTACTGGTATTGGCACTAACCCGACTATATACAAGTGAATGCTAATTAATTCTTACTGGATTCAGTCAATATGCCAAAAACAAACAGCAAAAAGAATCCTGCTGACTGGCATTGCAAAACCTTGCGTGAGCTATGTACCTACTTCTCTCGTTTCGAGTTAAGAAAGAATTAACCAACAAAAAAGTGTGTGTGACATTTAGGAGAAGTAGAATACATTTAAAACCTCAAGAGACTATCAATGGTACATATAGTGCATGGATATTGGTCGTCACAACCAATAGGACACTCACTCTTCTGTCCCAAAATATAGTCATCACTTGTCGGCTGCTCATTTGTTTTGATGTTGAGGTAGGACTGATTTAATGGCTTATCCTCTACAAGTTGCTCGCAATTCACAGGATAGCAGATGACTGGATCATGTTGGTATTGATAATTCGGATCTAGTTGGACGTTTTCGTATAAGCTTTGACATTGGCTGATGTACAAAGCGTTACCTTCCCACTGGTCTCCCTGTACAGTTTGTGGTACGCATTGACTACGACCAGCCTGCCCGCCAGTCACCAAATGATGATCCGGCCTCACCGTTTCAACCCTTGGCTTGCTATGTGAACTAGGAGTTGATGCAGCAACTGACAGAGTAGGAGAGGTCCTGTTGTCTAATCCAGGAGAGGGCGTCCTTTGTTTTTGTTCCTTTTTACATTTCATCCTTCTGTTTTGGAACCAGACTTTGATCTGACGTTCCGTCAGGTTTAAGAGTTGAGCCATTTGGGTACGACTTTTTCGGCACAGGTATTTGTTAGAGTGGAACGCTTTCTCCAGTTGAACAAGTTGGGATGGAGTATAAGCTGTTCTGACTCGTTTGGTATTTGGAGTATCGCTTGAGCTCCGCTTTGGACTGATTGGACCTGGTGGAAGGCTCTTTTCTGTATCTGGAAAGAAACAAACTTTTTAGTTTGGCTACTCATTGGTGGTTTTCAGTTTTAGTATTGGCAAATATAAGTTCAGAATACATTGTGATATGTGCTGGCAACAGTGCGAGTTGTTTACTGCTTCTCCCACTCGATCAAGATATTGTTTCTATTGGAAAATCGAGAAACTAAATATGAAAAGTGAGTTCTAGTGTTGTCTTAGACCAGTTTGTACAAGTGCATAAGAAGGTAAAGCAGTACCAGTGGATTTAAATAAGTTAAATCAGCTGGCGACTACAAATGCCAAAGGCTTGTGCCATAAGTCTGTCTTTGATGACCAAGATGATATGTTATGTTATAAATGCAGTATTTGGAAGCATATGACCTGTCTGGCAATATCTAAAATTATATGAAGCTGAGCAAATCTTCTCACCAATAGTTGTGTAACTTGTGTAGTGCTGAAGATGGAGCAAAACAAATTGATCAGCAACAAGTAAAAAGCTACGCCTAAGTTGGATGCAATGGACGAAAGGTGCAACGCAGTGCTTACAAAATTTACTGAGCAGGTCCAAATTAATGAAACCTTACAAAAGGAAATAGATTGTATTGAAAAACAGTTAAACAAAAGCTCTCAAGAACCTGTAACCTGTTCGTTCAAGGAGTAGCTTGTAAAGAGGAGGAAAGCCCACCAGAAATCAAAACGAGATCGGTAACTACTTTGATGTTCCAATAAACCATAAGTCCACTGTTTTTCAATTGATAAAGAGAAATACAAAGGATGGTACAATCAAATTAGTATTTAAGTATGACTAAATTAAAAGTTTCTTCAATAAAAAAATAAATTCAATCCCAAGATTTAAGCTACGCAACCGATAATAAAGTATTTCTAAACCTGAGCTCACAAAAGCGAATGTTAAAGTGTACAAAGCTGCAAGGTTATTCAAAGATGAAAAAGGCTACAAACTGCTATCGATTGGGGATAGAAGCGTTTTCCTACGGAAATATGAGCGATCTGAAGCTCTGTTAGTTGAAAATAAGGAGCAGTTTGAAAACTAGAAGAGCCTCGAAAACGATGTAAAATCGCTTAAATGAATAGCTAGTACATCAGAAATAAGAATGATCTTGTGCAATATAGTATGTTCAAAGAAGACTAGTGATTGTGAATCGTGGTTGCAGAACCGCCTTTTTGAGTTAGAGACTACCCTTCTGTGTCCAATGCTAATGACATCGTAACCTAGATGTGTGTTGGTTTAGGTGAACAAAGTGTTAAAATTAGTGTAACCTACAATCCATCATCGTACAGCAATAATGATTTTTTCCGTATTGCGAGTCCATCCTCCTTAAACGTCCAAGAAACCATTTAATATTAGGAGGTCTCACCATGAACCTGCTAGGAGATTATCTAGTGACTTTTGACTACAGAAATTTGTTAACAATAAATAACTGCAAAATAAATAATTTGATATGTGAATTCCCAGTGATCGTGGTAGTAAGATAGATTATAATGTGAGTGTTAAGGAAAATGCCCTGTGGGATCATAAGTTACTGTTAGTGAATGTTAAACATAGCCTCAAAAATCATAAGCCATAGGTAGATTATGAAATAAAAACCGTAGATTATTACTGATTTCAATGTCTTGTTCAACAGAAGGTACAAACAGTGAATATCACTACATTCCAGTACCTAATTAGTATAATTCAAGAATGTAAGGTCAAGTCGGAAACAATACGTGAAAATAATTTCTGGATAGGTAAAGAAATACTTGAAATATGAATTTAGTTTTTAAAAGAGAATATATTATGTTCAAAAATCGTCATTTAATTCGTTTGGAACAATATGCTCCTTAGCGCTTTGGCATAACCGTACTGTGAAACTTCTAGCCACTGCTGTTAGCCTTTTCGTGCAATCTCAGCAACCTACGAACCGACTTTGATAAATTCTCTTAAACCAGTACAATCTGTTGTTTTAGTTGGTACTTTTTGAGAATCGATGGCACAGTAATTTCCTTAGAAACGATCAATAAGTAAATGATAATTTTGTGGAAGGAAATATAAAAAATGCATCTATATTCTGCATTTTGAATTTGTATATATACAGGTTACTAATCGTAGTATTTAAAATGAAAGTTGGTATTGCTTATCACTATCGTGATGACTCACCTGTCGATCTTTTATCTTGGCTGTCAGCGTATAGGTAGGGAATTTGGATGCTATAGAGCGGTTTTCCCTGGATGGCAACTTGAGCATCCTGAGTCGAAAATGAAAAATTGGGCTGTTGGTCGTTTGTACATTTCGATAGATGTTGGTTGATTTGTAGATCCTGAAACAAAAAATTGTTATTATAATATGGTATGACTACACTTTCATTGCTTTTGTCTTGAAGCTAAATGGTTGTATAGTTGGTATGAGGGAATATCCTCGTACCAAAAGGTATAAGTCAAAAATATCTTCATGCGGAAAACGTGTTGTAAATGATGGCTATGAGACTGGTTTGATTTTTTAACTTTTTGCGTATACACGTATAACACGGAAGCAAGCACTGGTTTGATCACCCTTCTTTATTTGGAAATTAAGATTCAAGGGTTTTTTAACCTTTACACTATTTTTTTGACGTGTACATTTTCATTGCTTTTGTCTTGAAGCTTAAAGCTAAATGGCCGTATAGTATGAGAAAAAATATCTTCATGCGGGAAACTTCTTGCAAATGATGGTTATGAGACTGGTGTGATTTTTTAAATGTTTTGAGAATACACGTATAACAATGTAAGCAAGCAATGGTTTGATCACCTCCGTTCAAAAATTCAAGTTTAAGTAAGGATTTTTTTCAATCTTCCAACTAATTTTTGACATATATACTAGCATGTAAAATGTTATCCATCATCAAGCTTAAATATCCTGCTTTCCATGATGCACAGTTTTGAAGATGCTTATATATCTGTCTAGTCTTTAAAGTAAAATGCAAATATCGAAATAAGACCGTACAAGGTGGTCGATTCTGCTAACAGCACTTTGTGCTGAGAAGTTGCCAAATAGCAAAAAACGGACAAACGAAATCTATATTACTAGTTAAAATACAATTGTCTAACTTATTTTGTTTCTCTTCGTTACAGTGGTAACAGAGTTTTATTACTCCTCTGATTTTGGTTATGTATGAAACTAGAATAAATTTTCCATCTACTCACCACAAAGTTGTTTTCCACATGGTAGTTGTTTGTACAAACGTTTCCTCCAGCTTGAAAACCGTAATTTCCATCCCCGTACTCAGCAACAGGGCCAGCAGCACTATACGGTGGCGAAGATTCGGTTGAGTTCGGAAGGGGTGAAACACCCTCGGTCAGCAGCATATTGCTGTAAGCTTCCATGCTCTCAAAGTGGTTTCCACTGTAATCGGACAATTGGACAGTTGAAGACATGCTGAACTGCAATGAGCTGAACTTTACTAATGAGGGGTATTTATAGAAAAGCTTGACCACTCCTTATCTCGTTATCGGTACTCCGATTGGTCAATTGCAGGGTACATCCGCCTACCTGCTTCTTATTTTGGCAGAGTAAGCATTTTAATCCGTAAGAAGGCAAATTTTATGATATCGACAGGCTAGCGCAGAAAGAATCTTTTAAAACTGTAATAGTGCGACAGAATTGGTAAGAACGTGAGAAGATTCTTTATTTTCTTCATCAATTGCTGTACCAAAGTTCTTAAGACTGATTTAAAGTAGTTCACTAGCTTTTGTTGCCGATGTAACGGTAACGTAATTTCATTTTTTGTTGTAGTACTTACAGTACAAGTCATACTTTGTGGTGTATTGTCTCAAAATTTAATGGGTACACAGTACAGGGTGGCAGAAAATGATCGCTAAGACTTGAAAAATAAAATAGAAAGACACATCTTTTAAGACAAGTTTCCATTCAACTGCTATAACTAACTAAAAGATCAGAAACATTTTTTTCCGATTCAAATCATAAAACGTTTTGCACTTTGTATCCATATTACAGGTGTAATTACAGAAATGATATCGTCATTTTGAAGCAGTTCCGATATTGGATTGCAGCTCAGTTAAGGCTAGCTGGTTCAAGAACGAAGAAGTCGCAAGTCTGAGGGGTCCGATATATCAAACTCTTCCATTTGACACCCAAGTTGTAGGTGTTAACGCGGAAATGTTATATCGCCATTTACATATATATTTCGTATCGTCATGCGAACCAAACGTGTATATAAAGCTTTAGCTCGATTGATACAGGTTAAATGGTTAAAAACTGAAGAACGTGTAAATCAGACTTTTAATAATAATAATAATGATAATAATAATAGTAATGTATATTGGATTATATACTCGTACATCACATAAATACAAAGCATATAATACCCCAAAAGGCTGAAGGTTGGCAATTACATTTTTCACCTCAGCCGACTAAATGACTACAGATGTGAAACTTACTAACATACCATATTATGGGTAACAACGTTGAGCATATATAACTTTATATTATATAAAAACCATAATAAGAACGATTATTTTGAAGAGCTTGTACCTATTTAAGTGGTTGTGGCTTCAGTGAACTGCAATTGTAGTAGCATTTTTTTAAATTCGTTTTTAAAATTATAGATAGAAAATGCTTCTAAACATTTGGAATAATCATTAAGCATAGATGGTGCCGTGTAAAGGAAACTTTTCTTTAATTTAGATGTATGGGCCGGTATGCTGTAACAATTATCATTGCGTAGTAATACTTGTCGAAGTGATGACCGTTTCTCTAATTCACTAAACGAATACCTAGCGGATTTATATTTTAGAATTTTATATAGCAAGGTAGCATAAAAAAAACAGTGAGCTGTATGGGAATTTTAAAACGTTTTCTCTGATATAATATCTAGTAATGTGCTCTTGTCTGTGCAAATCGCTGTGACAAAACCTGATACAACAATATTGAAGAATTTGGAGTTTCTGCTGCATTTTCTCTGTTAGAAAGTTATAATAAACTGTAATTCCATAATATATATGTGTTATAAGTAGCGAATTAACAAGTCTTGCTTTAGTATCATTTGGCAATAAATTCTTGTACCGCCAGAGAGATTTGTATGTAAAATAGCACACACTGAGTTTACTTAGAACATGACACTCAAAGCAAGCATTTGTAACTAACATTTTTCCTAAATTTTTTAATTTCATCCACAATTTCAATCATGGTTCCATCTAAAACTGTATTAACTGCTTATTTATATTTCAAAAACCTAGGACAAATGCAACAAACATTAGTTTTGGAGGGGTTAAGTTTTAAGCATCAATTTCTTGTATCACTCTCATCAAGCGAGTTTTGTATACCCATATCATACGGTTTAAAATATCAATTCTGAATTCACTAACTGCCATTGACACAATCCTTCTCTTTTGTTTGATTGATAAGATCCTTCAAATGTCTTAAGTAGTTGTTAGCACAGATGGGATAAATATGGATGTTTTTGTGGAAAAAATACATTTTGGTGCCTGGTAGTCAAATAAGCAGGTGGGTTCTTCTCCAACCGATTATTGAAGAAAATTGAATGAATATGTTTTTACGATTGTCTTAGATAGAAAACAGGAAACTTGCCCTTCCAAGTGTTCACTTTGACCTGGTTTCCACTGTGTACCTTAAAAATATTCAAAAATGTGCCATCATTATAAGTCAATATTAAAGTGGAATTTTCAATAAACAGCAATGAAAAATATGATTGATATGATTCTCTTGCTTGAATTAACCTAGCCCTATTTCCTGCTAAAGCAAGTTAACTCAATAACAATTTTTCGGGCGTCTTCTATTATTATTAATGAACTGTGAGAGTTAGATCTTTCGGAACTCAAATACTATATTAAACCTAAAAACTACTTTAAAGCTAGCTTATTTGTCAGTGACACATATTTGTATTTTATTGTATACTATCAAAATAGGACTTATGAGGCGTTTGCACTGACCCATTTAAGTATCGTCTCCGTCTAACACCAATACCATCAGGGTATCAATTTTATGAAGCTCGAATAGACATAGAAATACATAATCATTTGTATAGTCTTTGTAGAGAGAAGAAGAATCTCCATTACTCAATTATTTCTAAAATTTGATACGTGACCACGTCTTCCAAAAGTGTTAATAACCAAGCATTTTTGTATGAGCCGTTTGACAGGTACAAATGTGTATCCTACTATAGTGTATTGCAATTTCGCCGAAGGATTGTAATAGCTACTCCGTGTCTATTTTCCCATCTAACTTGTGAGAGGCTTGGAACACACGATGAGCTTTGGCAGATCTTTAATATTGAATTTTGGAAGAACTAAGTGATTTCAATGTGTCAGAAGACGTGATAGGTACGAAAAAAAAGGAACTGAGGTGCTGTTCTGCGTTGTCTTCTTTCGTTTCGTACCACAACTCCTTGGTTAATGAGGTACATTGTCGCTGTCACTTTTCTTATGTATACTGTGAAAGAAAAGGTCGACAAAGCGCTAGTAGAAGCTCAACCTACATATGTGGTCTTATTTCACGACCACATGGAGAAAGCCTCATATGTGCAAAAGGTGACGTAACAGCAGCATTCCAGCGCTCAATATCTCTATCCTCTTAATATAAAGTTTAGTTTGTCCACTTGAAATATTGAAGGTGAGGTGAGGTGCATAAATTGGAAGCTTCTAGGATACCTTGAACGTCATACGGCACAGATGGTTTCCGGCATCATAGATCCACGGGGGACCGCCTAGCTTACTTCACGCAACTGTGGAGTAAACTCATCCAGGCTCAACTCGTTACCCTTGATACCACGAAAGCATTGGGTTGCTGGCTTCCTCTCTAGCTGCAAAATATCAGTCGCAATTAATGGGTTCTCCTCTCCGCCCCACAGTGACAACCAGGGTGTTCCCCAGGGATCTTGGGTCCGACAGTGTTCTGCTTACTTATCAAAGACCCCATTCCTGTACGGTCAATCTGATACATAGATTTACTGATGATAGCAGTCTACATGTAGGAATTCGGAGTAACAGGCCGGTGAGCTGAAGAAAAGGAAAGTAGCAGCGACTTCCTCCTTGAAGAAAAACCGGGGACACAACAATCTGGTACTGTTTAATACGAGTACTTCCATGACATATGACGGACCAACAAGAAGCGCCTTAGCGCTCATCTAGTTTTGATGGATGGCTGACTTCTACCAAAGGACGGTTCATTTTTGCTGGATCACCGAGGACTTGTCCTGGCATGAATGAATCTCGTCAAAAGTGGCAGCTGCTGGGATAAAACTGGGCTATTGTTTAGGACTAAGAAGTACTTTTCTCCTCATAACCTCCCAAATCTGTACCATTACCAGATAAGACCTAGCCTCGAGTATTGCTCACACGTCAATGCTCTTGAATCCTAACCTTGTCGAACCTCTTACATCCAGAACTAGCTGATACGAGCTGAGCAGGCTTTTCCCAGTTCTACTAAACCTCAAGCAGTTGAAAAATCTTTTTCTTTTTTTTTTTTTTTTTTTTTTTTTTTTTTTTTTAACGAGGGGGGAATGCATTTACGCACCATACCATAGCACGAGCTACGACGTGTGTGGGGCTCTAGGGTCTTGAGGAGATCACCTAATACCCACTAAACCCTAAACCTCCGCGTGGCCCGACTCATCAGCGTCTCGGTAGGCCATGTGTTGTGCGTGACCTGCGGTCTGCTACAACGTCTCCTCATGTGTTTCAGTCTCTGGGAACGCCGGGTTGGTTCCCTTTACCTCGCACATTCTATCGATGTCGTTAAGCGATCATCGATAGAGGGTCTGCTAGTTTCTCTTGAAACTCTTGTTTTCGAAAAATCAAGAGTTTCAAGTCCTCTTACCAATATGTTGTTCCTGGTCCTGGTCCTGAAGGGTCCTGGTCCTGGTGGGTCCTGGTCGTGGCGGGTCCTGGTCCTGGTTGGTCCTGGTCCCGGTGGGTCCTGGTCCCGGTGGTTCCTGGTCCTCTGCATCCACGCCGTGGGGTGAGGGGGGGGAGCAGCCGCAGTTCTCCTAGTCTCCTAGTCAAGGTTCCAGTTAGCGGGTGCCAACTGGGACCTTGGTCTGGGGTACCTGGTTCTGCGGTTGCGAGGCCTCTCGTCCGGATCGTAGTCCATGAGGAATCGTAGCTGCTCGTTCGGGTGGTCCTGAGCTTTCTCGAAGGTCTTCTCCGCTTTTTTCCTCATGTACTCGTGGATGGTATCCCAATGCAGGTCTCTACGCAAGGTTGAGTTCCTTACGTAGGAAGGTGCATTGGTGGCGATCCGGAGTAGCTTCATCTCTAGAGCAGCAAGTCGCTTGCGGTAGCTGGGGGCAGCGTACCCCCAGACCGCGGAGGCGTAAGCGAGCTGAGGTCTGGCGATGGCCTTGATCAGCCGTAGCTTGGTCGCTAGCGGCATCTGGCTGTGTCTACCCAGTAATGGATAGAGTTGAGCCATGGCTGCTCTGGTTTTTGCGATGACAGCTTCTATGTGCGCTTTCCAGGTGAGGGACTTGTCAAAAACGATCCCCAGATATTTGACATTGTCGCTCCACTGGATATCTTCATCGAAGATGGATGCTTCGAGAGGTCTTGCAATCCTTCTTCGTTGAATGAAGATTGCCTGCGTCTTCTGGACGTTGATGCGGATTTTCCATTTCACGCACCAGTCCTGAATTTGGTCCAGTTCACCCTGTAGTCTCCTACGGATGATCTCGGGTCGTCTATGCTTGGCGGCTATAGCAGTGTCGTCTGCATATAGGGCCAGCATTGTGTCAGCTGTCTTCGGCACATCGTAAGTATAGATATTGTAGAGCAGGGGGGCTAAGGCTGACCGCTGGGGCACGCCTGCTTCCAGCTGTCGTCTTGTTGAATGGCATGTACCAATCTTCACCGTGAACCATCTTTGTGTTAGATAGCTCTGGATCAGTTGGCACATGTTCGCATCGATTCCGGCGGCTTCCATTTTGGCGATGAGTCCATCGTGCCAAACTCGGTCGAAGGCTCGTTCCACGTCCAACAGGACGAGACCGGTTGCCTCCTGGAGATTGAAGCCGCTGGTGATGTTTTCCGTCAGTCGTAGCGCTTGGAGTTCCGTGTTGTGGGAGGATCTGAAGCCGAATTGCTCTGGGGGGAGAAGTTGCAGTTCTTCTGCCTGCTTCTCTAGTCGAACGGCGATAGCCTTTTCGACTACTTTGCCCACCGAGGAAACCAGGCTGATGGGCCGGTAGTTCTGGGGCAACTTCCGGTCCTTGCCTGGCTTGGTGAGCATTATAACCTGGGCTTCCCGCCACCGCCGCGGGAAGTGGTTAAGTCTCAGAGTGGCATTGGCGATGTTGGTGAGCGCAGCAATGCCTTTGGTGGGAAGGTTCTTCAGCATCCTATTGTTGATGCCGTCCCTTCCCGGCGCCTTTCTGACCTTCAACCTGCGGATGATCAGACGGATTTCCTCTGGACTGGAGGGGTGATCCGTCTCCTGGCCAGGTGGTCGACTCCTCATGTTTTTGGCTGCGACTTCCACGGCCTCCTCGTGGTTGTCGTCCTCGTCTTCATGGTAATTGAGTCTGCATTCGGATTCTAGCGAATCGGCGAATGCTTCGGCTTTTTCTTCACTGGAGTAGGCCAAGCCGCGTTGGCCGTGAAGAGTGGGGATCATGGTGCGCTGACGACGAAATTTTCGCTGCATAGACCAGGCCGTACCATCCTGGGTCTCTAGTTCTGCACAGGCTGCATTCCATCTGTTGTTTTGGAGTTCCGCGAGTGCGTTCTTCAGAGCTAACGATGCTCTGTTTCGCGCAACTCTCGACTCCTCTGTCAACAGCTGGAGATGTTCTCGCTTGAGTCTTCTGTTCTCCCTGATCAGGTGCCTAATATGGTGCGGTGCTGGACCATTTAGGTGTCTAGGAACTGCCGTAGTCTCGGAGCGGGTGCTGTCCTCGTGCGCTCGCAGGACAGCATTCTCCAGCTCCTCTACTGCGTTGTCCAGTTCCTCCGCTGATCGGATGGTTGGAATTTGAGTGATGTTCCTTTGGACGTTGGATTTGTACAGGTTCCAGTTCGTCCGTTTGGTGCTCAAGCTATCTCGAGTTCTAGACGCTGTGCCAAGTGTTAGTAGAATCGGATTGTGGTCCGACGATCCTTCCACCAGGGTCTCTATCTCGTACTCCTCTCTGATGTTGCGGAGGATGGCTGTGTCCAGTACCGCAGGTCGCCCAAGGCCGAATGGAATGTAGGTTGGTTGCTCCGGACCGACGATGACCCCCGCCAGGGCATCGACGTGTTCCTGGAGCTGCCTTGCATTCCTGTCTTCGACGTTGTTGTTCCAAGCCGGAGACTTGCAGTTTAGATCTCCGATGACTATGCGTGCTCCTGGGCCTCTCAGGAGGTCAGCGATGTCATCTTCGTCTAGGGCCTCCCCTGGTGGCACATATAGGGAGGTGATTCTGTAGAGACGGTCGTTGTGATGGACCTGGACCGTGATTCCGTCCCCATTTATGTCTGCGGCATCGTCGAGGACATGACTCGTCAAGGTACGTTTGACGAGTAATGCGACTCCTCCACCTCTGCCCCTTCTGTCGTAGCGGTACGTCTCGTACCGCGGGAACGTCAGACTATGGGCAGCATCCAACTTCGTTTCTTGGATGGCCATCACCTCTGGTTGGTACTGGTCTAGTATCTCCTGGATTTCTGGTTTCCGTGCCCTGAATCCGTTGATGTTCCAGGAGATAATGCGTAGAGATTCTACGTTTTGACCTGTAGACATTTCGGGTCTAGTGCTTGTCTTGCATCTTGGCCTCGAGTGCATCCAGGCGGGTTATGATGGCTTGCATCATTGCTAGCAGTCTGTCATCGCCGTGTTGCTTCTGCGCAGTAGTTCCAGTAGCAGTGGCGGCTGCTGGGGCAGAAGTGGACATAGGCTTCTTCGCTTTTTGAGCGTAAGAAGTCCTATTTGTGGTGGGGACTGCTTTGGGGGCAGAAGCAGCTTTCTTCGGCGCCTTACTACATCCCTTGTAGTTGGCGGGGTGGCCTTCTCCACAGAGGCAACACTTGGCGTTTCGTTGCCCTGTTGGCGGCGCTGGCAGACTGCAGCTGGCGCTGTTGTGGTCCTCTCCACACTTAACGCACCGTTCAGCGAGACGACAGTTCCGCTGTGTGTGCCCGTACCGCTGGCAGCGGTAACATTGGCTGGGCTTGGAAGACTTTTTCTTCCTCTCGAAGCCGACCGTGAGCATGGCCAGCCTCTGGATCTCTGCAAGCTTTTCCGGCATCTTCGTCTTGACGAGGAAGAGCGGAAGTGGCTTCTTTGTGGTCCTTGAGGTCATCTGCTGAACCTCGGCGTCTGCGATGCCTTGGCTCACTAGATCCTCTTTGATGTCATTTACTGACATCTCCCTCGGAAGCCCACGAATGACCCTCTGGTCCATCCTGTCCTCCTTCAATTGATAGGTGAAGAAGGGCCGCTTGATGGATTCCAGCAGTGCGACTAGCTGACGGTAGTCAGCTGGTGTATTTGTGAATACCTTCACACTGGTACCCGCCGTCCTCGCTTTGGAGAATTGAATCCCCTTGCTGTTCATCATCCTACTCAAGGATGACCAATCAGCGGTGCCCTCGATATTGATTGGCGGAACTCCTGTTCCTGCCATGGGGGCCTCGGTGGTCCTGGTTGCTCTAGGACCTTGAAAAATCTGATTAAAAAGGTTTCTTTAAGGTCAGTAAGAAATATTTTGGGATAAATCTGGTAGGCAAAACAAATGACTATCTGATTATTAAAAGGCCTACATAGAAAATTCTGACTTTTTTTAAATAACTCAGACATGACAACGTCAATCTATGACGTACTTACATTTTTGGAATTAGAATTAAAAATTCTATTCATCTGCCTAAAAATGCAATATGACGTCTAAGAAAAAAGTTGCAACTGGCGGAGAAGAGACGAAACGACATATTGAAATTCGGATTATGTCACCTTGTAGAGGATAAAAAGTAGCAATGTTAAGGTACAATTTATTTTGAAATTCCTCTACAAATAAAGTCAGGGAATTACTAAAATGATTTTGGGAAAATTCTGTTTTTTCCGTGTCTCTCCGGCAGTACATTTTGCTAATTACCTAAATACGCAACTGTGCCCTCATTCAAGCGACTTCGAATCTCTTACAGTTTCTGTGATTCCAGTGGTGAGGTTCGAATTTATATACATATTTGAATTTAGTTTTTAAGAGCGTTCCAGTTATTATGTTAAATATGTTTATTCCAATTTATCCTCTTCCCATTTTACTTGTCGGGGTAGGGGGTGGAAAAGAAAACACCCTCTTGAAAGAGACGCATTGTGGAAAATAAATCTGATTCATACGAACTTTTTTTAAATCAACCAAGGAAGAATTTCTTGCATTTCAGCATGGTGCTTTATTAACGCACTTTTATATCACTTGCTCAACCTTGTTAGATTTATTTAAAACGAAGTGATATGGTCTGGGTGTCTAGTTCAACTTTTGCAGCAGCGCATATTTTCATAACTTATTGAGTATACAATTAAAAGAAATAAATCTCACCGTGCCAAAAAATTATACACTACTCAAAAATCTTAAGGGCACAAGAATAAATCCAAATTTGTCGGTGATTTTTGAGAGGATGTATTTCCATGAAAAATGATCGTATCTAGATTTAAAAATAGCATTTTGAAGCTTTAAGTTTTTAGTTGTTAGGCTTACTATCCAAAATTTTTAGGCGGAACGGTTCTTATGCAATTTTCACAGATAGCACAAGAAACATTTTTTGCAATTTTTTTTCTTCTTTCAGACCATGGGCTTGAACATTTTTTTTTCCATGAGACCATCAATTGGATGGGATAGCCCCCTTCAATCTAATGTCTTTAAGATCTTGATTCGATCATTTGATGCGGTGATATCTGAGTGAATGAAAAAAGATTCTTTTTCCTTGCTAACCAGTGATCGCACAGAGGGAGTAAGGGTATTTCCGGGAACTAAAATAGATCTTAAAAATTTTCCAACTGCTTCTTTAAAAATTGATGATATTACAGATTTTCAACCAGATTACCTGAAGTTTTGCTCCAAAAATGTTGCTTTGATTTCTTTCAAATTTCGTCCAGTCGGTCCAGAGAAACCGTACCGTGGATCGATCTGTTGCCTGTTAGCCATATAATTACCATTACCGCATATGCGGTAGATTTTCCAAAATAAGACATAAAGTGAGTTTTTTGAGTTTTTTAAAATCAAAACTAAGTCAACCAAAAGAAAAGTTCCTCAAAGATTGCATTTACCGGAAATACCCTGACATTCTCTGTGTGATCATTAGTTACCAAGATATCAGTGGTCGATGACAAAGTGATCCGTTTTAATTCAAAATCGGATATCTCCGCGCCAAACGATCGTATCGAGATCTTATGAACAGAATATTGAAGTTCAATAAATGACATTACGCATCTTTTTTGGTGTCATGTGACGGTCTTAACCAGTTCTACAAGAAACAAAGACAAAATCCAACATTCTTCCAACAAGTACCGTCTTTTTTGAATATTGGTCGCAAAATGTATTTAATATTAACATGTTCATAGTTCCTATACAGTATGAAGTCGGGACCACAAATGAAATGTTATACACAGCTCTCATTTTAAGTTAGGCTGCTATGTAACATTTCCCCTCCAGAGCTTCATTAAAAAGATACGGGGTGTTGAAGTCAACTGGAATGAACTCAAATTTGGAATGTGTAAGTATTGTCTACATTTGAAAGTCTTCACTCAAAGTTAATGTGCACCAGTGGCGCAGATACAGGGGACTAGTTTCATTATTTTTCCAAATAAAAATAGTTGGCCACTGTTTTTTTTTCGGACCGCCCATTTACTACAAATAATTACTCTTCTCTTTTTTCCTAGGGTGCTTGTTTACGCAAAAATACAAAAAACAAATTAGGTAGTCAAAGCTTTAATTCAATAAATGTTCAAAAAGACCACCATTCTGACGGATGCAAGTGCGGCATCCTTTTAGTAAAAAAAAAACATATTTCCCCCAAATTTGTTATGAATTGAATTTGATGAAACGTATTATCTATTATTTCTTGTGACCGATCAACAGCTCCTCCAACAACAAACATGACGCCACTTATCCCCTGTATATCCGCCACTGGTGCACGTTAATTTTAAGCAAAAACTTTTAAATGTGGATAATACTTAGGTGAATCCACGTACCAAATTTTAGTTCATTCCAGTTGACGGTTTTGAAGATTTTAAAAAAACTTTTCTTTTATTTTAAAACTTCATCGCTCCGTAGCTTTTTAATGAAGCCATCTAGGAAAAAATGTAACATAGAAGACTCTCCTTAAAATGCGGTTCTGTGTATGATGTTTCGTTGTTGGTCACGACTTGTGAATGACCCCGTATATATCCGCCGAGCTAAGCACAGTGAGGGTAACTGTAACGTTGTGGACTTCGTGTGTAGTTTTTTCCCTCTCCATCTTCGTTTCCTCAGGTTACACCCGCATCCGTATGTGTGGGCATGTGTAGCTACCTTTGTACTTTCATATGTGCATTCATTTCGGGCCTGATGAAGCCAACTAGCAGAAATACGTATCGCTCGGGTTACCCATCCTATTTTCTGCTCGAATCCACTTTCCCCTTTTTGAGGATTTTGCCCATTATTTTCCTACTTTTTGTTATATATATATATATACAGTTACTTTAATTGGTTTGGCCAAAAACTTAAATTTTGTGTGTCATTAACTTATGTGTATTAGAGTTCGAACCAGTTTGGATCTAGCCACCTCTGCTATATGGCCGCAATACATATGATTAAATGACACACAATCTTCAAGTTTTTGATTAAAGTAATGAAAATAAGTTTAAGAAACCTTTACATATATTTGGAATAGGACAAAAAATACAACTTTATTCGATGGCGTTTTTCGAGTCACCCGGTATATGAAAAAGAACATTACATGAAAAACTTTGTATATGACTCTAAATTTTTATATGTAACTTTTTTTTTCAAGAATCCCCTGCGTGGACGTATAATACAGTTCTTTTTTTTTCTGTGAAAAAAAACAACCTTGGACATACTATTCCATATTTTGGAGAGTCTAGCCAGGTGTACGTAATTCGGTATAGTATCGGCAACAGAAGCTGCTGTCGCAGGCCGTCCATTGTTTAGAAGAACAACTGAGATGATTCATATGATACAAACAAAATATGGAAGTTTACATCAGAAACTTTATCGTTAACTAAATGTGAGGTCAAGCATTTAAGATGAGACGTTTGCTGCAGCGTGCAAAGGCACTTTTTGTACCAAAAAGCCATTATCGCTGTTCGTTCATCAATCTTAGATTCTCATGTGGCTATGTGACAATTCATCCGTAAACATCATCAAGAGCAGTTTCGTGATTGTATTGCATTTAATGCGCAGCTGGAAAGTATAAACCGATTTTATTTCACCTCTTTTGGTAAGACATGACTTTCCGCCAAATAACCTTGTAAGAGTCAAAAATAATAATTTCTCCATTTAACCTCAGGCAAGCAATGGGTTCGTGATGTAATTTCCATTGTAGAAGGGTAAAAGTGGGAATTTTTAATGTCTTAAGACAGCACTGACTCACGGAACATAATAACTTTCGAAACTTGTGTTAAGGGACGCTATGCCATACTTATATTGATTGTTTGCCCAGAGAAAATTGGAATGGTAGAATCAAAGGGAGGGTTTCCCAAAGTAGCGGTCGCTTTAAGCAAAAAATGCACTTTTAGAAAACCACAGCGCTCTAGCGCGAATGTCATAGGATAATTATTTACTGTGGTCCATACCATTAACATTTACTGATTATTGCGTTCGTGAATTCCTACGTAACCTTATACATCAATAATTACTGACGTCCTGGTTACGGAGCCAATAAGTATGACATTTCTGGTCAAATACTGACGGATCACAGTAAATACTGATGGTATGATATTTGACTTACTTATTTTTAATATACCGAAGCAGCTATGAAGGCAGAAGCTTGAATACGAGCTGCTGCTATGAGGAACTTAAAGAAACTTTGTTAATCCGATTTTTGATCTGCCTAAGGCTAGTAGAACTGAGACACGCCTCATCAGGTAGAACGGTTCAAAATATCGATACCTTAGGGTAAAAGGAGCGGCCGTATCGGCCAGTTCTGGATTTACAAAGTTCGACACGGTTAGGATGGGAGGCCGAAATCAGGCAGGTATGTCTGCTAGGCATATCACGCGGCGGCATCATGGGAGAGAGCTCCGAGGAGCAAAGCCCGTTGGCATAGCGGTAGAAGCGAGCTAGATCGTCGACAGCCCATCGCCGTCGGTGGGAAACGGTTCCGAGACTATCCGTCAGAAAAGAGTCGTTGGTCAGCCGGACAGCCCTCCTCTGAACTCGAAGCTAGGTTTATCTCATTTTCATGTTAGTACATTTATTCGCTCCAACCTTGATAATACTATGCAACTGTTGACATTAATCGGTACATTAGTCTTCAAAACTTGGAAAAGTACATATTCCCGTAGCACTGACCGCGCTGCCACGTCTGACCGGGATAAGGCGACGTTGGCAGATCCACTACCGGTAGGGCAGGGAAAGAATGTCTATGGACTAATTGTATGGACCCGTTTGACTGACTTTTTTCTTACAGGGTCTAGTTGGTGCTGAACATAATCCAATATGAACTGATAACGACGTTGCGTAACAAGTGTCCCTGCTTGATACCATTTTTTTAAATAAAGTACGTTGTACAGCTCGACCGATTGATTTTTGCAGATGCTCAACATTTTGACAATACAGTATTTTGCAAAATTTATTACATACGCTAGTTACAGTTTCATAATTGGCTATTAACCAACATAAAACTGATTTTGGCAGAATTTTATTTTTTTTGCTTTTTTATGCACAAACTCTAACATGTGTCGAGAGTAGATATCGTAATTTGCCAAGTTTTTTTTTATATTTGTGACACTAAACACTGGACTAATGTTTCAATGTACTGTGCACCATATGAAATAATTTTATTAACTAATATTGTGTAAAAAGGAGAACTGTCCTCACGGCGATATCATTATACAGGGTGTTTCAGTTTATTGTTGCATAACTTTAAGATTCGATAGAACTTTTAAAATTAATACATCAAGTCTACATAAACATGGGTCGAAAAATGCGTGGCTTCCGAAATATAGGGTGTTTAAATTTACTTTCTAAAATAGTTTTTTTTAAATATTTCGAACAATTTTTGATGTATAACAGTGAAAATTGTTATACAAGGGTTTTTTGGTACGACAAAACGAACCATGGGCATAGTTTTACTGTAGCCGCTAGAGGGCGCTCTCTACTGTACCTGTAATGTATTAAAATGACCGAAAATTTTTTCTTGGTGCAACTTTTTGCTTTTTGAATAAAAAACTGAATTTTCACACTTTTCAATATAAAAAAGCTCTCCTGTGAGTTTTCGTTATAGTTAGCCGTTATTGAGATATTTCGATTTTTAAGTTTCGATGCATTTTTAATTATTTATGGGAAAATAATATTTTTTTACATTTTCGATTTGGGCATTACAAGTAATTAAGATGATCGTTTAGATTGAGTTTTTAAACACAGCAATAATTCCTAACTCCAAATAAACACAAAAAAAACAAAATATTAAGTTGTTTAATTTTCCAATATTATTTTTAACAAATTAAATTAATTATTTACAACTAAAATGCTATTGGATAGTTAGGACAAACATACAAAATCTAAAGTAGTTGCTCGAAATGTAAACCCAATTGTTCAATACATAATTCACATCTACGAATGATCGAACGTGGTACCTATAGCATTATTCAAATAAGGCCTTATTTCATCACATGCATTCCTGATGCTGTCTATTAGCATATCTCTTGTGGTTACGGGAGTCTGGTACACTTTTTCTATTAGAAATCTCCACACAAATAAATTTAATGGATTTAGGTCAGGGGATCGTGGAGGCCAGGCGACTGGTCCTCCACGGCCGATCCATCTTTCTGGATAATTTTCGTCCAGCCAGTTTCTAACTATTCTCGAATAATGAGCTGGACAACCATCAAGCTGGAACCAGGCCAATCTTCTTAAATATAACATAACATCATCCCACATATTTGCATGTTCAGCCTTTAAAAATTCCAAGAAGGTCGCAGCATTTAACCTGGCAAATGGTAGGGTCCAAATAGTGGATTACGATAGATACAAATCCACACGTTCACACTAAATTCATGCTAAAAATTTCTCTCCCGAACTGCATGCGGATTTTCATGCGACCAAATATGTTGATTATGAAAATTTACCACTCCACGTCTAGTGAAGCATGACTCATCGGTCCATAAAACGTTACTTAAAAACTACCTATTATTATCATCAGTTCTATCAAGAATCCACTGACAAAATGTGATTCTTCGTTCTCCGTCCCCTGGCTGTAGTCCTTGCACAGGTTGCAAATGGTAAGGACGTCTATGGTCATTTCTAAGAACACGGTGAATGTGGCTTGCTGAAATTCCCAAGGCACCAGAAACTCTCCTAACACTTGTGGCCGGATCTCTATCAAACTCACGCAGAATCCTACGGGTAAATCTGCGCTGGCGAACATTTATGTTTTGATCCCTTTGGAGATTTCCAAAACCATTTTCAATTATTTGGCGATGCACTGAGCGAGTTGGATGTCGTCTGTTTGGAAATCTTCGTGCGTATTCTCTGGCTGCTTCTGCTGCGTTTCCATTTACAAAGCCATACACAAAATGAATATCCGCTAACTCTTGATTGGAGAATAAAAATGGCATTTTTATAAAACTTACAAAAAAAAACAGGTAAAAGAAACTAAATTTCGTGCATTCACAATTGCAAAAAAACGTTTCAGGTATCAACAGACAACAAAACTAACTGTCAACTAATTGACGTTTAACCTTATTCTGCTTTCAATTTCAAAAATATTTGCAGGCACAGCCTACTTCTAAAAATTATCGAGATACTGACTTTTTAACGTTATTTTATCATAAATAATTAAAAATGCATCGAACCTTAAAAATCAAAATATCTGAGAAACGGCTAACTATAACGAAAATTCACAAGAGAGCTTTTTTATGTTGAAAAGTGCGAAGAATCAGTTTTTTTATTCAAAAATCAAAAAATTGCACTAAGAAAAAATTTTAGGTCATTTTAATACACTACAGGTACAGTAGAGAGCGCCCTCTAGCGGCTACAGTAAAACTATGCCCATGGATCGTTTTGTCGTACCAAAAAACCCTTGTATAGCAATTTTCTGTTATACATCAAATATTGTTCGGAATATTTAAAAAAAACTATTTTAGAAAGTAAATTTAAACACCCTGTATTTCGGAAGCCACGCATTTTTCGACCCATGTTTATATAGACTTTATGCATTAATTTTGAAAGTTCTATCGAATCTTAGTTATGCAACAATAAACTGAAACACCCTGTATAGCCCCACCAATTATTGCCCGAATTGACTCATTTTCTGTAGAGTACCAGAATCATCAAGATGATAATGACAGGCGGTAAATATCACGCGTACAGCCGCAAATCCTTCATTTATAGAATAGCACTTATAAACTACTATACTAATTATTAGATTTGATGACTAGTAACTCCAACATTAGCACACATTAAGAGCAAGTTTAATCTAATGGACATTTAAATGACTTGTCGATGCTGACAAATAAAAGGACGTATAATGTGTGAGAAATCATTAGTTTGAAGAAGTATACAATGAATGGTGATCCACTGCTTCCGGCTCAGAGATTGTGCACCCATTCAGGTGAGGGTTGCAGCTAATGTGAAGTTTTTTATTCATCGAGTGAACTTGCGAAGGTGTTGGAGTAAACCTGTGTGACTAGTTGTTGAAATTGCATTTTCCATGAAGCTGTTTGTCGATAATTCGACTCAGGCGGTATTTCTAGATGCTGGCCAAGCAAAATAAAGGAGACCTCCCGTCGCTGATATACAACGAAGGAAAGATTGTAAGCAATTCCAAGGCTAAGGTGGAAGTGCCTGTCAAGCTTTTCGGCTAGCACCGCCACGGATATGAAAACCTACGCACACTGGAGTCCGGTATGTGGAGCCTAAGTAACTGCCCAACTAACAGTTATCACTCCTATTAGAGTTGCAAGAATGATTATAGAGTATTCCTTACACAGCATTGTATACTGTAAGAACATTGGCAAAACCCTCTTAGAACAGCCATACAAGCAGAATGAGCACACCTAATAGGACACTTCAGTCATTTAAGAGGTTGTATAAGGGCTGCAGGGAACAGTTATACAACGAAAGTGTAAGCCTCTTGCAGCTGCTATAGGACATTTGCATCAGTGCAAGACTCAGTTTTTGTCAACTATACAAATATTCTGTTAGGTGATTCTACTTTATTGCAACCAAACTATTTCTTATGTATTGTATAGACGAAGTGAAGAATATATAACTAACACAATACAGTCATCTTGTTTACTTACA